ATATTTTGCGTTTCTTTCCAGATAACGCAAAAAATTCATTATAATCTTTGTACCATATAGAATTAAGATAATATTTAGTTATAATAACACATGCAGTGAGTAGATTCTTTTGAAACTGTTGATAATTAATAAGAAAGTGTGTTTTGCAAATTATGTATTATAATTGGAGAATTCAAAACTCGTTTAATCTAGAGATGACAAAAGTTAATCGACACCAAATCCTGCATTATTTCCTAATCTGCCAAATATCGTCAAGATCTTGAAAAGTTTGCAGAATTTAATTAATTAGATACAATTAAATTACTTGACTGTTACTGCCTCGTACTGATCTTTCCATTTACTATTAGGGAAGAGCGATCGAAACTATTCACTCAAACCACAACAATAAAATAACGCTGTCAATGTTTCTAGTTTAAGTCAGTTGCAATTAATAATAGTAATTTCAAAAATCTCGACAAAACTGCTCTCGCTCGTGAGAAAAATAATGAAATCAATCAAAAATTGAACTTTTTGAAATAATTATAATAGCACAATTTTTCAACTATGAACTGTTTTAACTCCGATATTTCTAAATATAAAAAAAGTGCAATAATATTTCTCATTTGCTTATTTAATTAAACAATAACTTAATATTCAATGCTGAACAAATTGTGAGTTACATCAGAAAAAACAATTAACTACTACAACTCTTTCCTCTTTTAAATTAATTTAAATTTAACGCTATCAATATATTTAAATGTATCATTTAGATAAAAGAATCTAAAAATAAGTTATTTTCAACTCTAAGAAAAGCAGTTAAATAAAAATGATAACATATTTTATTGTAGTTTACAATGAATCGGCAAAATTTAAATTCAACGTACTTTCGGTTTACCTAATCATAAATGTAGTATCGGGAATGCGTGCTTTTTAGTTTATGGTAGGCTTAAAGTAATCTAGGAATAGTTTGTAATTTTAAGGGATTAAGTAATTGTTATCCGTATGTTTAGAATAAGAAGCAAAATATTTTTAAGCAATAAACTTTAAGAAAACTACTGCGTCCTCTCCAACCGTACGGTTTTATTAGCTGACTGAGTTAACGAACGACGTTGGAAGTCTCTCTTTTTAAAAAGAAATCCAAAAATTGTAATAACACTTTATTTAAAAGAACTATAATTATTAGTTAAAAATATAAACAATTTGCCGTTCGTGAATTAAAGTATCCCAGCAATATGCTATGCACGTCAACTACAATACATTAATTAAATTAGAAGGCTAAAACAAAGCTTATATACTATACAAGAAATCGCTTATGTTGTACATTCTTGGAATTAGTTGTCGGTGTGAGAAACGCGCTGGTTATGATTTATTCACATCGATAACTACTCCCTCATTAAGATAAAATTTTACATTTTGTAGAAATTAAAATTTGGTTAAAATACATATTAATACAAAAATGAAACAATAATACATAATAATACAATAAATCTATCAGCTACATCTCATTACCCTTTGTAAGTGAAGGAAAGGCAACAGAAGGTTTTCCCAGCCGTTCATTCACTTTGCTGTACACAGCTTCTGGTTGATTTGATTTATCATTTTTCTTATTTCTTATTAAATATTTGGTAATGTTATGTCGCTTGCAAACAATAAAAATTACGAATAAT